CTTGCCCTGTCCGACGTCTCCCTTCATCCACTTTTCAGTTGTCTGTCCCCCAGGGAGGAGGTCACACACAGTTCCGGATGCAAAATGTTGAAACTGAGGAAGGAGCAGTAGTCGGAAAAGATGGCCTTGGTGATAGAAATGAAGCTGGAGGTTGCATAGAATTTTGCAAGAACAATGACTTCTTCCTTGCAAACACCTTTTCTCAACAACACAAGCAGTGACTCTACCCACGGACCTCACCAAATGGAATAGACAATCATCAAATTAACGACATCTATGGGAAGAAGCAACCATCCCTTGATCATATGTTAAGTTCAGGTTGAAGTTGAAAAACATTAAAACAGGTCCACAAAAGCCAAGATACAACTTTAAGTATATGCTACCGGAAGGTTGTCTGCCCTGCACAGTCATCTGAGAGCTCCTGACGTCAGGGCTGTGCCTGCCACCCACCTGGTGCTTGTTCAGTAGGGATGGGATGGACTACCCTTCCAGGGCTGTGGTGAGGCATGCTCGCGTTAACTGTGGCCATGCCCATTAACTAAGGAGCCGTTCGTGCTACAACAATTACGCACTCAACTGCTCACTCAGAGGTTGGTAGTTTGAACCCACCCAAGTGGCTCTGTGGAAGCAAGTTTGACTTACCAAAAAGGAAAAGAAACCTCACTGCTATCAAGTAGATTTTGACTCACAGCAACCCTACAGGACAGAGTAGAAACTGCGCCTGTGGGTTTCTGAGACTGTCGCTCCTAACTGGAGTAGAAATCCTCATCCTTTGCAGCGGCTGGTGGCTTCAAACTGCTGATCTTGCAGTTAGCAGCCCGACAGCCTAGAACACACGATGGGGCAGGTCTATTCTGTCGCGTGGGGGCCACTCTGTGTCAGAAACAACTCAAGAGCACCTAACAACAACAACAACACCTGGTTAACTACAGCCGCTCATTCAGATGAGAGGAGCTGAGAGCTGGTTAGACAGCCAACTGAGGCGGGGCAGATACTGAAGAACATTCACACTGCAGGTGCTGGCAGGCAGTCAGACCAGCCTGGCAGCAGATAACAGAAGTTATGTCTGTTAGGTCAGTCTATCAGGAAAATGTTCTAAAGAGGGCACTCAAACAGGCTTAGAAAGCCAAGCAGGCAAGAGGCGTAGATAACAATCTGACTGCTATCAAGTTGATGCCGGCTCACAGTGACCCTAGAAGGCAGGGTAGAACTGCTCGCTGTGAGTTTCCCAGATTGTAAAAAGCCTGCCTTTCTCCCAGGGAGCAGCTGCGGGGTTCAAACTGCTGACTTGTGGCTAGCAGTCCAACTTGTAAACCACTGTACCAGCAAGGCACCGTGTAGATAATACGAGATACCACTAATTGAGCATTTAGTGTATATATGTTACCGTTCACAATGTACACACTGAGATTTTCAGCTGGAACTCAAAGCAGGTTCTTCCTTATTCCAAAGCCCACACTCTTTCCTCTAAATTAATGTATCTCACATTTTAATTTGTAGAAACTCAGTCAGGTAAGCATTGGATTCCTAACTGCAAGATCAGAAGTTCAAACCCACCTGTTACTCCTCCAGAGACAGATGAGGTTCTTTGCTCCCATAGAGATTTATGAAACCTCACAGTGGTTCGTAACGCCGCGACCCTCTCATACAGTTCCTCATGTTCTGTGACCCTCAACCAGAAAGTTATTTTCGTTGCTACTTCATCACTATAATTTTGCTACTAATATGAATCGGTCGACCCCTGTGAAAGGGCCGTTCGGCCCCCAAAGGGGTCGCGACCCACTGCTCTATAGGGTCCCTAGGAGTCGGAATAGACTCGGTGGCAGGGGGTGTGGCGGAGGGAGGAGGAGACCTGGGATTGTGTGTTTCTACAGGCTCTCTGCAGCTGATGCTGCCGGACTCCAAGCCGCCGAGCTCTCTGGAAACATCACCTTGCTCTCAGCTTCTCAGTGACTCGACGGGCACATGGCAGACCCAGGACTTGTTAACCCAAGTCTGGTTAAATCTAAAACGTATGCTGTCTCCCTCTGCTGGCAGCCAGT